AAACAGATTCACAAAGAGCTAGTACTACAGTGCAATCTAATTCTCCTCCAGAATAGAAAGAAGGATAGTTACTATATTCAATTTGATGCCTTCTTTACTGGAATTGTAGTTTTGACACTTTGGCTCACCAATAAAATCTCTCTGACCTGAAGTTGACTTTTGATCAGACTATTAAATGGGAACAAAATTCACCACACAACCATTCTCCACCTCACAAATTACACTGAATTTATTTCTAAACCATTTAAATACTCCCATCTTATTTGATCAAGTCTCCCATAAATTATTGGTATTTATACAAAGCCATTAGAAGGCCTAGCTACAATATTCAACATTCTAGTTGGGTATCCAGCCAGTAAACACTCAGCTCCATACAGTCACTCCAACTGTCTCCCTAATTAAGGGATTATATGGTCACGAAAAGGGAGTTTTAGATAGATGATAGATAGATGACATATATAGATAATATTTAAAATAATTACCCCACAAAGTCTTCCATAGCCAACCTGCAGCCTTCCCGAAGTGTTGGATTATAACACTCATAACCCCAAGTGGCATTTCTCAAAAGGCATTGTGGGAATTGTAATTTCAACTATCTGGAGAGTACCAGATTGGCAAATCTTAGAGGGGATTTATAAAAAAATATAAAGTTCTCTGAGATTTAAGAATTACTTACGTATAAATACAAATTGAGCTTTCCAGAAAATTTATAGCATTAGCACTTAAATTCCTGCTCTCTGATTGCTATAGGCCAGGGGTCTTCAAACTTGGCCCTTTTATGACTTGTGGACTTGAACTCCCAGAATTCCTCAGCCAGGCATGCTGGCTGAGGAATTCTGGGAGTTGAAGTCTACAGTCATAAAAGGGCCAAGTTTGAAGACCCCTGCTATAGGTTTTCATTCTGGAATCTCTAGACATCAACAAAATCAGTTTCTGCTCTCTCTCTCTCTCTCTCTCTCTCTCTCTCCCTCCCTCCCTCTCTCTTCCATCCATCTCCTACCTAACCAGAGAGTAAAAAGTGTATCTTCTTATCCCCTTCATATCATAGTGAACCATCTCTTGCTACCATCAAACATACAGTTCTGCTGGCTAGCAATACATTTTACCGTATCTTAAGAGGGGTTATTATAGGGTAGCTCAATTTAGAGTTACCAAATGAAAAAGGGTTCACTTCTAAAAGCTGCATTTGATTGAGCAAAAGCATGGACTTTCTTTTACCAGTTGCTCCTTGGTGAGTGCAAATTTGGAGCATTGTTTTTTCAACCTCTGCAGCATAGTCTTTGAATGAGATGCTGCAGGTCTTGTCTCTGCCACGTGAGCATTGCTTTTGCGCTAAGGCCAATTTGTGTTTATATTATTTGATAGATATTTGGTCATTCCATTGCTCTTGAGAACTGCTTATTGGTGAGAATAGGAAGGTACAACAGTCACATTTGAACTGATTGAGGAATAAAATTTGGAAAAGTTCCAGGCTGCAATTCAGCCAAGCTACATATGGGGGACTACACAGCTTTTCTTTCCTATTTATATGGAAAAGACAGACGTTCCATTTAGTGATTTAATTTATTTCAAAAACAGGCAACAGCACTAACCTTTGAGTGGTGTTCTGGAGGATATATTTGCTGAAGAAAGAAGGGCCAGATCTGAAAACAGTTAAAAATTGTGGGTGGGTGAAGAGAAAAACCAGTTGAAAAAAAAAATGAAGCATACATTTTTCATGTCTGGTAGTTACACTTAAAAAGGTCTCAAAATGTTTGCCTTTTATAAAATATTTGAAAACCCTAAGATATTTCAACAGTAAAAAATATGTGGGTTAGGAAATGAGCCACTGAATCTTGGCAGCACTTAAGGGAAACTTTTCTGACCTATTCATGACGAAGGGTTGTGTCTGACTCCTGCCTGTTATATCTGATTTAATCAATATCCTGGCCCCTCAGCTGAGACAGGATCATGTCCTATATAAATTGCATTTGTGTGTTACTTTGCATCTGTTTTTTTCTTGAGATCCCAAAATAGACCTATTTACATTTGCATACAGCAGCTATGCTCTTTGGCAGGGTTTCTTGGTGTGCAATGACACCTTAGAGCATGGGTGTGAAACTCGCCACATCACATGACGTGTCGCGACATATCGCGACTCTTTTTGCGTTGCCAGCAATGGGGTGGGTGCAGCTTCGGTATGATGAAGCCGGCCTGCCTTAGAGTACGTGGCTGCCCAGCTTTTCACCTTGCAGCATCTCAGAGTAAAATACAAAGGCCTAGTTTTCTTGCAATGGGAGCTTGAGAAGAACTATTACTTAAGGAGGAAGGAGTATTGAGTTATTAATAAAAATAATAAAGGCAGGATTTAAAAAAAATCTACATAAAAAAGGCAAGAAAAGTCAAGATGGAAATTGCAACCATTCAGCGGAAGCCCCACTTTTATACATGCCTTCACACTGCATGCACATGCAAAGATGGTATCTTTGTGGCCACCATCTTGACACCAACACCATTGCTGTTATTGGCCTTTGTTGCCATATTGTGTCTCCCAAACCACAGAATGCTTTAAAGCCAGTTGCTGGAAGTAACAGCCAAGGAGGACTAGCATCTTCAGGCTCAGTTTCTGAACTTGTAAGAGGCACTTTGTAGATTGACCTGTGTCTAATCTAGCAGGATTCTTCCCATGTTTGTGGATATGGGAAGATATATACGTATACTCAGTGCTGGAACTCACACACGTCATACAACCCGCCTTGCCTACCCTACAAGGTTCCACCCCAAAAAGATGCCAGAACTACATTCTGGGTGTTCTATGAGAAAAAAAGCCCTGCGTATACTATAACCCATACCTCAGTTTGAGAGGAGAAGGTGACATCCTCAGAGTAGCTTTGAAAACTCTTCCACTACTAAAAAGCCAAACATGAAGTTTTACCAGTAAATTAAGTAACTCTTGTTGGAATTCCACATGCAAGTATAATCTAACAAGTCAGGATCAACCCTCTATTTATGAAGTTCACTTTGGTCTTGTTTTGTTACTTTTACAGCAACATATTTAAACTGGTAGTCTGCAGATTTTACTTGAAACATAAATTCTGCAGGAAGAAATTATGGTTAGAGAAGACAAGTTTGTTTTCTTCAACTGTTTTATTTACACGTTAAATAGCTGTCAGCAAGAGGATCTGCTTGGCCATAAATTGTCATCCGTACAATTTACTGTAGTATGTTTTGTGGTTTCATAATGTGTAGCCTATCCTCCAGGTGCAATTCTCTGTTTTTCAGGAACAAGATTCCTTGAAGTAGAAAGAGAGACCATTAGGATAAGAGGCCACAAGTGACACTGGAAAGCAGGATGACCTTTCTTTCTATGACCAGGTCAACAAATTTGTGGTTTACAATTAAATGCATGAGAAGAGACAGAATCAGTACTGAAGCTGAATCAGTTACTTTTTGGAGTTATCCTTTGATTATTATCTCCTTGACACCAATGTTTACTAAAAGTCATTACATCTTTCCACAAGTCAAATTTAAAATATGCTTTAGCGGCCCTCTTCGTGAAGATTCCATAGGTATAGTATCTGCTCCAAGGCACTGAAAAGATCAAATCACATATTATGGCAAAAATCCTGCCTCTCTAATAGCTAGAATAGGCAATACTATGGTTGGATCCTCCAAGAGTTTTTATAAGCAGCTCCTTTCCCATCCCTTGGGAAGGTTTTTTTCCCCCCAATGATGTCTTAAGCTGAGAAAAGGGCAATAATACAATAAAAAAAGGTCCTGTTTGCTTTAACATAATCAGGCCCATGTTACCTTCAGCTTCAGACCAAGCATATCACCAGGATCTACTCCCAATACTATTTTTGTGTCATCAAAGGAGCATTGCAGTGCTCCTTGTCTCCAGTCGTATGATGCTGACAGAGAAGTGAATGTGAAGCAGACGCAAAGAAGAGACTATTTTAAGCCCATCCATAAACAAGACTGTTTCCAATATGTCTGATGCAAAATAAGGTTGTATTTTTACAGTGATCTCATGAGTAGATGTTGCAGTTACATTAGCAACTTTTAAGCATGGAACAATGTTATGTTGCTCTTCCTGATCAGAATAGCTATTCATTCAAGAGGGAGTAAAATATCATTTGTTTGCGTAGACTTTAATTCTAACACAGGGGTGTCAAACTGCTGGCTCATGGGCCGGTCGCATCATACGGAGGCTGCGCCCACCCCAGCTCCAGCAATGCAAAAAAAAGTTGTGATACGTCGTGATACGTCACATGACATAGAGAATTTCACCCATGTTCTAACAGGATCTACTCTACAATAGCCAAGGATTTCTCACACATTATGGAGGAATAAATCTGGAATTTCTTCAAGCACATATCAAACCCCCAGTAGGTCTGTAAAGGTTTCTGTATGGACTGTGAGAAAGGACTTGCAAGGATGGGTAAAATGTATCTGTCACCAGGCAGAATTTTTGCCCCTCTGATAATACTAAGATACGAAGGGGTGGATCCCCATTTTATCCATTTCCCCAGATTTCTCTAAATAAGGAGCTGCAGCCAATTGTAGCATCCTAGTGAGATGCTTATATGATGATGTTATCCATTCAGTCCAGTTACTCATTGGCAATTGTATGGGCCAGGTCTCTCCACATCTTCCTATCTTGCACTACTTCTTTGAGTTGTATTTGTAAATTATATGTCAAATTCATACTATAATTGTATAAAATAACAGCTCAAACATATGCAAGATTCTATAGTGGACTGTATGTCAAAAGTTTATCTTTTAATGTTTATGGTTTTGATATATTAAAATACTATGTTGTTTCATTATTGATATTGTTTTAATTGCTATTTGGGGGCTGCCCAGTGTTTGATATAAAATGAGTGGCTATATAAATGTTTAAAATAAAGAAATAAATGCTTATAAAATGTAATACATATAATGATGCAATGTGTAATGATATAGAGTTTTGTGCCTTTCTCTTATGACATAGCCTGAACAATAATAAATAAAAACAGAAATTATGAAAAAATTACTTTTTTAATGTACAAAACATTTATATACAGTTTTAGCATATGACTGCCATCCGTACGATGTAAAAAACAGATAAAAAGCTCCTGGAGATATAAAGGCAGAACAATTCAGCTACAGTACTCTTATTAATAATGAGTGCCTTCTATACAGAATATATACAGAGCCAGTTTTCTTGTTATAATACTATTACAGTAAATAAAGGGAGACCACCATTGATAAATTGAAGAAAATAATGGGCAAATCATTTGTGTCTGCATTTACTAATGCTGATCAGGATTCATATCAGTATACATTCCTGCAACTAGGCATCCTGATGGTTTGTGGAATGTCCAATATCTTCTTAGCTCCTTGAAACTTTGTGCTATTTTTATTCTATATCCAGACAATTCTAAGCGATGGGGATGGTGGGTCACACAACCAAATCATGTGTGTAATGCTACACAATTATCACTTGAGCATGGTCTTATGAACAGATCTGAAAGGGCCACATTAGTAGGCCAATAGCAACACTGTCATCCTCCTGAAATAATTGAATTTGGTTTTTTTTTAAATTTCACTTTCCTGTCCTGCCTTAAGATGTGCAATATTCAGATGTATTGAGAAGAACTACTGTAGCCATCTCTGCCATTCACTTTCTTTGAAGTCTTCCATTGTCCATCATGAATGGAAAAATAAAACAGGAATAATACATTTTTGGAATACTAAATTGGTTTTCTTGGGACACCTAAGTAAACATATTCTGCAGGTTAACCTTTAACATGGTGAAAGACATAATCAAAGTGATTTTTCTTGATGACACTGAAAAATATACAGGCAAAGGAAAGAATAACTAATAAGAAATGGGTATGGAAATGTACTATCCAGAAAAGTTTGCCACCACAAACTCTGATATGAGCAAAGAGTTCCCTTTTCTATGGCATTAAACATTAGACACAGGGAAAGCTGTGAGACGGCCATCCATCTCCTGCTTATAATCAGTATGGCAAGTCATCCTTCTTATATGATTAAATGGGACCTATATTCTCATTCTAAGGTGATAACCAGTTCCTATATTGGCATTTCCTGATGTAATCATGGTTATTCAAAACTCCCATACCTTTATGTATGGAAAGAGGCAGGGAGAAGTGTCACTGCCTTAACTTTATGGCCAGATGCTTGGACACAATCAGAATGGTCCACATTCAAGTCATTCTAGTCAGACTCTTGGCATTGTTTGCCTGTGTATTTACAAGGTAGAGGCTACAAGGTGGATAAATGGCACTGCAAAGGGATCAGATTCTGATACAGAATAATGATAGGAAAAAATGAGCAAAGACACTCTTAGGAGCCTCTATTTCCTCTGGGTTTACATCTCCTTTTTTTAAAGTTCAAAAATAAATAATGAAACAAATCACTCTAATCAAATGTATAAATATATATGAAATGGGGAATTTGTAGTACACCATCCTTTTACAGCTATGCTTTTGTAATTCTGCTGAACCATAAAACCCATAGAGCTAACTCTAACGTCACAAAAGAAGGCAATTGGACTTCCTTTTTTTGGGGGGGGGGTCTTTTTGGTGTGCTCTCAAACCTGTTTTAGCTAAACTTCAACCATCTGAAGCAGATTGAAAAAGCAAAAGCTGTATAGGAGAATGAAATTTGTTTTATCAGCAGTTACCCAGAAATGTTGGCTAGACAGATACTGATGTATGTTGATAAATAGTGCCCGTGATTTGGGCTTGAATACCCTAACCCAAATCTAGTGAGCCACTTTATAAAAATGCAAACCTTGGTACATCAAGGTTTTTACATTTGATGTTCACCCTACCCTGTGTTGGCAATTGGCAGCTGCCTGATTTCATGTTCTACTTTTTCTGCCCTTAATGATTGTCTGATCTCATAATTTCCTCTTTCAAATAATGCTTTCCAAAATTCTATTAGATAAATGCATAAACAGCCCCAATGGTTTGCATGAATTAATTAATGCAATTATGCAGTGCAAGTACTTCTGGATGACATGCAGTTTTGGCAGGAGCTGCTTACTAAGAGAGAGAGAGAGACAGTGGCATGGATGTACTGTCTCTTCTTATTGGAGGGATTAGGTATATAAACAGTATATATTAGCTAAACACGCGGCAAATGGATGGCAATGTAGATGCCATAATATGCATAATTGACTACAAATTTGCCATAATGGCACTGTTCATTTTTATGAGCCCAAGTTGATGAGCATGTAGCACTGAACAGATTAGGGTTGGACAAACCATTCTACTACTCATGCTATCTTGAAGGTTTGGCTTTTCAAGGGCCTTCCCATTTCATCTGAGCACAATGGCAAAGACACAGAAGACCCTTCTGAAGGACTGCTGTTGAATCTCCTTGTTTTCTCCATGCTTAGGCAATATGGGAAGGTCTTCAAAGCAGCTACACTAAGCCTTCAAGAGATCATGGCACTGTAGAGTTCAAACCGTGGGTTTGGAGAGGCACGTGGCACTATTTATTAACTTCATGTTTAAATTATTTTCTTTCTGTGCTATCCCTCTTTTCCAAGGAACTCTGAGCAGTTTTATAATCTCACAATAATGCTGCAAGGTGAGACTGAGACATCACGACTGGCCAAGCAAACAGAAGATCATTTTTACCAAAGCCAGTTGGCCACCTCCAAAGTGACATATTAGTCAGAGCTAACTCATGCAATCTGTAATTAAACATAACTGGGAGGAATGAACAAATTTTATGACATAAAAATGTACACATTCCTGCAGCATCATTTTTATGTCATATTTAACAAACTCCCACACTGTTCTTTTTGTATGAGCAATTCCAAAGAGAAGTCACACAGAGTGATCTGTGTGTCACATCATGCATGGTAGAGTTTTTTTTTCCAATAATATTTTTAAATTAGTTTGATTTTCAAATCTCTACTACATTCTCTATGATAGCCTCTGATTAGAAAAAACAAACAAACTGAAACCCATTAGGCCATTCAGTTTTTCACATTTCCCCATCAGTGTGTCTCTCTCAAATCTCTTTTTAGCAATGCTGTATTGCCTGATATAAATGCACCTTTATTTTATATATGCTTCTGGCAATACACTTTATTTGACATTATTGGACAACAGATGCCTTGATGACTCAACTGTTAATGCACAGTAAGGCACTTTGCTGCAAAGCTGATTCTCAGCTAAGCTACAAGATACAAAGAGCGATACTGGCTGTAATAATGAAGGTACTGTGTGTGTGTGTGTGTGTGTGTGCGCATGCATGCCCATCTGGTCATAAGCAAAGCATGAAGCATTTATAGTATGGCTTTGCATATGGTTAAATTTATAACTCTCGCTAGGGAGGACAAGGCATATTTGCAGCTATAGGTAAAAGGAGATTGCAAAAAGTAAAGCTTCCTTTGAAACATTGATTCTCATTATTTTAACACAGGAGTCTTCAAACTTGGCCCTTTTATGACTTGTGGACTTCAACTCCCAGAATTCCTCAGCCAGGAGTTAAAGTCCACAAGTCATAAAAGGGCCAAGTTTGAAGACCTCTGTTTTAACACATGGCTTTTAAGTGTCCCACAACTGGCAAAGTGCCATCTAATTTTGAGGTTGATGGTTTGAGAAATGTTAACCCCTTGCAAGCTAACAAGGGAAGGGATGGTGGCAACGACAGTCAGGTTTTTGAAAGGATTCTCAAATGTGTCTAACTTTTATAAACGGTGACACACTTTAGAAGCACTTTAAGAAGGACGGTGGCATCTTTCAGCACGCCCCCAAATAATACTAGAAGTGCATCCTTTCAGTGCTTTTTTACATAGTTTATGCATGTTTGTACAAAGATATTTTTTTTCTTACTTGGAATTCCCTTAATATGTTTTAATACTTGTAAAAGTCTACTCTATGGCAACTTTTTCCCCCTTTCCTCTCTCTCTCTCTCTCTCTCTCTTTTTTTTTTTAAAGAAAAGCACATTCATAACATTGCCCAGCACATGATCTCTGGATATGCCTAGAGGTACATCTGTGCTTTATGCATTAGGTCAGGGGTGTCAAACTGCCGGCCCGTGGGCCAGTGGCATCATATGGACGCCGCACCCACCCCTGCTCCAGCAGTACAAAAAAAGTTGTGATACATCGCGACACGTCACGTGAAGCGGCGAGTTTGATACCCATGCATTAGGACATCATGTTAAGAAATTTGCTCTCTTCTGCCAGGGTGGTCAGCATAGAATTCATGTCCCCTATTGCCATATTACTAATTCCAGTTGGTATAGCTGGCAGTGTCAGAGAATTTCGGGGAGTTGTAAGGCGAGAAGAATTCTGAGAGAGATTCTGCAGGATACTAGGGCTCAAGGTTCCTGACATCAGACTTGAATGGTCGCCATCATCCATGATAGCATCAAAATCTATCTGAGGAGACTCCAGACCCTGGGAATCCACTGTGCTAGAAACTTGATTAGCACCAGGGGAAGGCATGGTGGCTGGTTTGGTGTTCAGCACACATTGTTGTCTGACACTGTAATCGGTTTGATTGTTGACATTCCCATTTTGTTCATACATATGTATTTGACCGTAATAATGCATCAAATGGCTTTCCCTCATACTACTGTTAAACTGTGGTTGCAACGATCCTATACCAGTTGTTCTCTTGGGGGAAGAGTGTGCCCTTTGCTGCCCTGAGCTCACATCATCCGTTGGGTGAGATATTCTCACGTATCCCAACTGCTGCCCAGCACGGACTCCTTGGTGCTTGTTTCCTGGATTAGAATTAGGTGGAGGATGAGGTTGTATCATTGAGGAAGTGAAACTCTGTCCAACGGTGCCAATTGTATTCTGTTGTGGCTCAATGTTTGGCTGATTTGAGGTTATTAATGCAGAAGCTTGGTGGAAATCCTCTTGGGTCATGGAGAAGTTCATGTGGTTTGACTGAGATGAAAAGCTCTGCTGATACCCTGGTTCCTGCATGTCTTGACTATGCATGACATATTCTCTACCATTGTTAACTATTGAAATGGGATCAGCCACATTATCTAATTGCTGAGAACGAACGTGGAATGCAGGCTTCATGGTCATGTTATTACAGGAAGGAGAAAGTTGGGTGACATCACTGCCCATCGTATTTGGACTTAGCATTTGATGAACTTGGTTGAACACCTCATGGGAGTTCAGGTCTAGATTGTTACCAGAACCTGGATTCACCTGTTGCTGCTTTAAGTGCATGCAGTTGAGCCTTTGTCCATCCATGGTTGCATTCTTTTGCACAAATTGCTGCAGATTTCCATTTGTGTTGTTTTGGCCTACCTGCAACTGCTGTTGGTTGAAGTTCTGATACTGACCAAAATTTTGCTTCTGATGGAATACAGCTAGATTCCGTTGAGGGAACTGCTGTTTTGATTGAGAGGAGGGTACATCAACAGTTCCTGAGCTAACTTCGTTCCACTGGACTGGCATGTTATTTTTATGCAAATTAGAGTTAGCCCCATAGTTTATTTGGCATCCACCACCAACAGAGGTCGAATGGTTCATACTCAGATCTGGAACAGCCATTCTGCGCTGGTTTAATGTGTTGTTATTTTGCACTTTTGCATTTACTTGGAAGTTTTGCATTTCACTGGCATACCCTGTAGAAGAGTTCTCTGTGGCAATCCCATTGTTTTGGGATTTGATGTATTGTACCACATCATCAGGTAGGACAATATCATCATCTCCCACAGAACTATCTGTCTCACCGGGCATGGCTTCCATGGCAATATTTTCGCTAATACTTGGGGGTCGTGGAGAATACACATGCCTAGCAAGGCTCCTGTCTGAATGTGGAAAGATTGGAAGGTTGAATTGTCTTCTGTCTGCATGAGGGTGAAGAAGATTCATGCTGTTGGTGCTATTGTAAGTATGGATTCTAGGAAAAGAGCTTGGGTCTCCAGCAGGTCTCCTCACTGGATCGCTTGCCCGTCTTGCACTATTCCCAGGCACTTCATGAGAGAATGCAGGCGATGACCCATACACATAAGCATTGCTGTCACTACAACGCCTTGGCCCTGGAGGGAGACGAAATGAAGGCAAAGCAGGCTCTGAACCATCAAGGAGAGAGATTTTATTCCTCAGCGTCATTCTTTCCATGTTAGGTAATGGTGTAGGTGGTGGGCCACCTGTGGCAGCAGCATACTTAGCTTTCAGCCTGTACTGCTGAGCTGGTGTGAGATTCAGGAGACCAGAGACCCCATTACATTGACTGGCATCACTTGACCTGCGAGAGGCATCTGTGGAAATAGGATCATAGGAGCCAGCAGAGCTTGTGTTGTTATGGCGATTTCCAAATTGAGAAGCTTCACTGGAACGGCGGCTGGAGAAGTAAGGGGATATTCCTGATGATCTGCGGCTGACTGTGTAGGCAGAACTGATGGTACTGGTTGAGCTGTCACGGCGTTCAGCTAGTTGGTTTAGCATGGTAACTTCATTGATGGACAGCTCTGTTATCCTTGGGTTAGGCAGCATTGTTGAGGTGCCACGCATATTGTCCAGCAGACAACCTGAAAGAAAATGAGAAAGAGAGAGTAAGATTATTGGTCAGCGATTAAAAAGAAAGGCATCCCATTATTGTACTTGGATACTTATCCAGCTCACACATATAGATAAAATAGGTTGGAAAGTGGTCCAACAAAATTGGGCAAAGAAAACCTTAATTTTGTTGTATACTACTTAAACACAAAACAAAATATATATCTGTTCAAGTCATAATTCTATATTTCAAAACTGGCTACCATCCCAATACCCCTGTTCATTTTCTGTTAAGTCAAGAAACCTTCAAGTATAATGCAAGATGTTATCTCTTTCAAGACAGACATCACAAGAGATGCTGATGTGCACATCCCCATTTTCTGTTTCAAGTATGAACTTGTACTTTATTTTTCAAGAAGGCAGAAAAGACTGGAATATTGAACATTGGAATAGAACATATTTTTCTAGGTAAAATTTAGATCACATTCTCTTTCGAGTTGGCATATACTCTTAAGTTTATATCTCACGCACTGGTTCTCATAACAGTTAAGAAACACACAAAAGCAATACTACAATGTGATGAGTAGTTCTCATAATAGTTAAGAAATACACAAAAGCAATACTACAATGTGATATTGGAGTAGAGACAAGAGAAGGGGTTTTTGTGTGCCTATTTGGCTCATCTTATAGGTTTGGATCCCGGCTGAGCCTCCAACACTGTTTTAAATATAGGAAAGATATTCAGAAACACTGTTGGATAGATATAAAATAGTAGGCTGGCTTACCATTGCCTGGGATGGGAGGCAGCTTGCTGTTTTTGACTTGTGGTGCTGGATTTGCCCATGAGCAAGAATCCTTCACTGTCCTGAGTTTCTCTTTCTTGAGCTGCTCAAGGCGTTGCATTGCTGTCATGTTTTTCCTTAGTTGAAGACCGACAGTTGAGTTACCAGATGAGACTGTCGAGTCCACAACAGGAGTATTATCCTCCAACACAGTCAGGTCCCCCAGACTTCCCCCACTGTGCATGTTCATTTCCACTCCACTGTCATTGTTGTTGATGCTCCCAAGGGGTGATGGTTCACTGCTGCAGGATGATTGGCCACCAGGACTGGACTGATACATCTTAAAGAAGCAAAGAAAAGACCACCAATTGAAGACATTCCAGGTTTTCCCCTCGTGTTCTTAGTTAGCTCTATAAACTAAGGCTCTATAAACAATTCACTGCAAAATTAACACGAACGAGACAACCAAATGAATTACTAGAAAATATACCATTCTGCCAAACATTTGGAATGTTCTGACATCCTTCGATTACTTCATATCTTGGCACATCTTTGTTTTTCATTTCTTTTTCTTATTTCTTTGCCTTCTCCTCTGCCTCATTTCCCCATATTATATTTAATCTGATTAACTGCGATGACCCAAATGATTGAGTTGATGACTGGCCCATGACATCATCACAAAATACATTGGACTGGGATGGGTTAACAAAAATCCCATGAGTTAATACCCCCTTAACTTAAACTGCAGTGTGGATAAATGAAAATTAGGAAAAAAATAGCACTGAGAAGATTGAAATATTTCTGAACATGTCAGAAATTAGCTATAAATTATAGATGCTTTCAGGGCCCAAGAAAATAAATCTTACCAGGGATGGGTGGGGAGGACTTTCTTAACTAAACCCTGTAAGTTTTTTTTTATAGTGATTTAACCGATTAAAGAATTCCCCTGCAGACAAAGAGAAAGAAAAAATCATGAAGCTTTGGAATGTTTATTGAGGCATCTTGAGAGTTGTATTGTTTATCCTAGAAAGTTTTAATTTTTCTTTCTGAAAGCTCAGATTGTGTTCTTCAAACCTTGTTTGGTCTCAGGCCTGGGATTAGTGTATTTGTGTGTGTGTGTGTGTGTGTGTGTGTGTGTGTGTGTGTGTATGTGTGTGTGTGTTTTGTACTGATCTGTGTTCAAGACCGTTTTAGTGTGGGCTATCCGTGTGGTTTTATATTTTGTTTTTATGCATTTTTTGATCCTGTACGCTGCCCAAATCCCACTGGAGTTGAGTAGTTACAACAAATTTGAATAAACAAAAATATTTTATTGACTTAAGCTTAGGCATCATATGAAATTCAGTACTGCATTAAGAGTATTCAGGCCCATTGCAACTTTCATTTAAGCCAGATCTGTTCTTTAGGTAAACAAATCCTCATTACCCGATAAGCCAATGTGCCTATTATTGCCGACAAGTGTGATGGCACTGTAGTGTGGGCCCAGGCTTTTCCATCAGATAAGCCACTGAAATGATTTACTTAATTTTTATGACTTTTTAAAACAGTGGTATGTAAACAGCAGGGAGCTAAAAGCCAAGGGGCGCATTTTCTTTCTTTCTTTTTTTGTTAGCAAAGAATTATATGTGCTCTCTCTCAGCTAAGCTCTTGATGCTTCTGTCAGATAAACCTGGAACCTGAGCACATTTCCCCTTCTGCAATGTGCCTGTTTATCTGCAGCAGAATCAAACCTGTAATGCTTTAGGCACCGTATATGCCCTTTGCTTCAAAGGCGAGCAGCATGCTTGGCTGACAGTCTTTATAAGCAGATAAGGGCATGATTTGCAGACTTGGTTTGGTAAATGTTTTTTATTAGGAATTAGGTTTCACATTAGGTAATTTATCTGCAATAAAAGTTAAATGTCCTGTATTGGCTCCCTCAAAAGAAGGCTTTTTCCTCCCCCCCCCCGTTTGCTGTCTGGCCCATGGCCTCGTGATTTATGATTGCTGGCCCTCTGTGGCTATAGACTGGGAATGCTGAGTTGAAATGACTTTTCTCTTTTTCTAGCACAACATTGTTCCAGAGGACCAAACAGTTATCAAAGTAGATTTTCTTACGGACAAAGTATATTTTAAGATTACTTGTAAATGGACGGGGAAAAGAAGCCTTTTCTCAAAAGGTAGAAAGTGCTAGCAAGAGGATGCTGGTGATGCAGTTCATAACCAAAGAGGCCCAACACTACAATGTTATTATAACAGCAGGGATTTGGCTAACATGAACACAGAAATGGAATATAATATTTCTGCCACTTCTTAAAATATTGCATATAAATGGCAGGTGGCGCTACAGCAACTTGCAACATGATTGTTCAAAGTTACAATGTGCTGAAAAAAGTAACTTATGACCGTTTTTCACACTTATGACATAGCAGCATCCCCATGGTCATGTGATCAACATTCAGATGCTTGGCAAGTGGTTCACATTTATGACGGCTGCAGAGTCCTGGGCTCATGTGATCACGTTTTGCAACCTTCTGACCAGCAAAGTCAATGGGGAAGCCGGATTCACTTAACGACGGTGTTACTAATTGAACAACTGCTGTGATTCACTTAACAAAGGTGGCAAGAAAAAGTTGGAAAATGGGGCAAAACTCACTTAACAACTGTCTCACTTAGCAACAGAAAGTTTGGGCTCAATTGCAGTCATACGTCGAGGACCACCTGTACTTAGTTTTGCTGGGAGCACGTATTTCACACCATAGTGTATCTTAAGCTGAACATTTCATTCAAAAGAGAGTCAGTTGTCTGTTCCAAACTGCGTCTTGAATTGAGGAATTACCACTCCCCCATAAATTTTGGACCAGGGAGGATTTGTCTAATGAATTTTATAGGTGTGGGTTCTCAATAGGATAGTTAGTTTACTTGTGGAATGCCAACATAAAAAAGGATGAGAGAGAAAGAATTGCAGACCATGTAACAGATACTTAACTATAGCTGCTTTTCCAAAGAGGCCATTGTAGCTCTACACAGCTGGTTTGCTTAGCCACATACACAGGACAAAGCACATTATGTCTTTTGTAAGAGACTTTGACAAAGACAGGGTATTTGCTCACCTTAGTACCGACTGTCCTTGTGAAGTTGAGTAGAAAAAGTTAAGAGAGGAGAAAGAACAGGTTGTTAGAACGCAGACAACACAAAGGGGAAGGGGTTGAGGTAATTGATGGAACAAGACATGAGGCAAAAAAATAAAAATAAAATAATAATGGCAGGTTAGCAACAGCCAGGGCACAGAAAAAATACTGCTTGAATGTCTGTAACATCACATTTATAATCAGTTTTAAAACTACAATCATTGTATAAGGTACTTTGCAGAATCCAAATGTGACAATATGTCTTGGTACAGAATCAATACTGATGTCTCATCATAAATATCAGAGTATCCCATTCCAGAAATAATTTCACTCCTTCACCCAGATGTCCTGAAGTAAGTTGAAATATATATTTACCACTCAAATATATAGAATGTGAAATATAGCTCTCTATAGTATCACTACCATTAAAAAAGTATACCTTATTTAAACATCAGCAATGCACTTCGTATTTGTTGTTGACATTTTCTTAGGGATACCTGTTCAATGTATCCCGGTTTTATATTTAATTCTGGTATATCATAGCACTGACCTATCTGCAATGAATTTAAGGTACGTATTTCTCAGCCTCACCTGTCGTCTGGTCATATAGAACCAATGTATTCTGCAGAATTGATAACTACTATAGTAACAGCATCAAATGGTTTAAATAACTGTTAAAATTATTAATCTCAGGTATTAAATAACTGTTAATATTATTTTTTAAAAAGAGAATGGTCAAGTTTTCTTTTCTTTTGAGGCCTGCATTACTTTGGAAAGAATATGCTATGGCCCATATTTTAGTCAGATGAATAAAACCAGACCAGGCCACACACAAATATGTACTCCTTCCATAGGTTCTGTTGGGAAGAAGTGTTTATTTAGTATTTTAAGTAATATGTCCTCTTCTCCATCTTTCTTTCTAGAGGAGAGAAGCTTCACCAACTTTTAGTCAAAATTAAGACAAAGATTTGCACAATAGACAAGCTTCTGTTCAACTCATCTTCTCAATTTTATGCAAAATGCTCTTATCCTCAATGTGAGATTCCCAAGTTATCATGCCTGCCTGTGTCACTTAATACTGCAGCTAAAGAGGAACAATTGAGGAAAGCAAGAAAAGCAGAGCAGATGCTGGGGTGGGGGTTGTCACAGGAATAGTAAAGTGCTATCACATCTTTGCTAGGATTTTTAAAGAGGGTATAATTTGGGGAATATGTCAAGAATGGGGCACAGAGCTCTACATCTGAATTGTGGTTTGGAGCGTCTCACACTGAGCCTTCAAACCATTTTTTTCATAATAATTTGGAGAACCAGATGGACAATACTAGGATAGAGCATAATTATGATTCTGCTTAGAATATACAGGTATCGGAAAAATAATGTCTTTGTACAAAAGATTAATACAGTTATCCCTCTGGAAATTGTAGCTTTATGTGTTATTAAAATTCCAAATATTATCTCTCTGAGGATGGACAATTGTATTTCATTGATTTGCTCCTGGGAATCCTACCAATTTTTAATCACAGTGTGATGTAAAAGCTAGTCTGTTGTTTCACTCATCAGGAAAAACAATTTTCCCATTCTCAAAGAGAAACTCCAAATGTTAACTTTCCACCTTTTGTTTGGTAATATCTAATAACCATGTCTGTAGATGTATGAAGTCTTAAATTTGATATGCAAAAAGATGCTGAAAAAGTTGGGAGGGGGCTAAGGCGAAAGGTAAACTAGGAGATCTGAAAAGATTGTAATCTGTGTGTTTGGGGGTGGGGTGGAGAAAGAGTTAATATCTCTTTGCTCCAAATTATACAGTACTACCAACAAGTCAACTAAAGCTTCTCTTACCACAGACTTCTCTGTCTTTATTGTTTTGACTTGTAAACTGTCCTCTGTGCCTGTGGTGGTGCTGTTTGCCTCAGCCCGCTGTTCAGCAGACCTGTTGCTCTGCTTGGCACTTGCTTCATTGTCATTATTCTCCTTAAGGACAGGTGGCCTTAGATGAATGTCATTGCGTTGCTTCTTGGTGACGTGGGCTTCGGGTCCATGCACTGTCTTCACGTGTTTCCTGAGAGAACTGGGGTCTGTATATCTCTTGGTGCAGCCTGGGATCTTGCAGACATAGGGTTTCTGCCAAAAATAACAAAAGATGAAGTGATTCACCAAAATGAGAATAAAACAGCTGAGATATGTATTTTAGTGGCAGTTGTGTGGAGAGAAAATGGTGACAATGTGAGAAAAGTATGTGAGAAAAAGTAAGGTTCAACATTTAGGCAAGAAAAATCAAATGCACGGGTACCACAAAGAAGCGGGAGTGTCAACCTTTTCTCCAAAGCACCTGAAGGGAGGACAAGAAGCAATAGATGGAAACTAATCAAGGAGAGAAGCAACCTGGAACTAAGAAAAAATTTCCTGACAGAGCAATTAATCAGCGGAACAACCTGCCTCCAGAAGTTGTGGGTGCTCCAACACTGGAGGCTTTAAAGAAGAAATTGGACAATATTTGTCTGAAATGGTATAAGATTTTCTGCCTGAGCAGCAGTTAGACTAGAAGACCTCCAAGATCCCTCCCAACTGTGTTATTCTGTTATTTTGTGACATGGGGCTGAAATGTTTTAAATATATGGCAACTTGTGTACATATAATAGATACTATCACTACTCAGGCAGTAATTTTACAGTTTGAGATCTCCTTAATGTTGCTGAAGGAGGAACACCTTGGAGTAGATAGCTTGCTTTGTCAGATTTGCTTGGTTTGCAAACTATCTTGATATGGATATGGCCTTCCTTTGGATCTATTCATTCTTCTTAGGTATTCATAATCAATAAAAGCATGTAAGAATCCTGTAAATGTAAACTCCAAGTTGAAAATAAGAAATTGTGAATTGTCACAGGGTCCCTATCAAAGCATTTTAACACCTTGCCCAATAATTGCATTGGACTGATTTCCATTAGTTCAAATTACTGCATTAGTAAGATTACCATGGGATGTGGCTGGGACATGCAAGAAATCTCTTTAGGGCAACTTTTCTTTTGAAATATAATTGGCTTGGGTGATTGATGGGAGGGAGAGAGACATCCTATTCTACAGAAAACCAGGAGTCAATCTGAACTGGATTTGTAGCCCATCAGATCTTCCCCACATCTCCACCAGCTGTCAAACTGGTAGCTGTTTATGCTGTGGAGTGAAATCCAAAGCCCCACAGTGATTTTTGAAGATGATATGATAACTTTGAACATTTGAGCCACTGATAAGCACAGCACAAATAAACAGGCTCTACAGTTGGAGAGAGAAGCAAGCAAACTAGCATGGAAGACACACACACCCTCCCCCAAATCCAAGTGCATTTCTTCAAATCTGCTTTCAGCAAGATAGTTCTGGTCGCTCCTTCTGAAAGGCTGGATTCATGTAAAATTCTGCTTCAGGCTGCTTAAAGACTTTTTCCATTATCATCCTAGAAGGAGACCATCCAAAGAATGCTAGTTTACAGCTCAGCTTTAGTGCAAAATACTTTTCTACTTTCCCTAATTCTGATTTAGATATTGTTTTCCATATCTATAGGAAATGTAAAATTCCACTAGCTGATTCACCCGTTTCTAAGATGGATGGGTAAGACTAGAAGGAAATTAGTTTCCCGGGTAAGAAGAGTGCCTTGCATTCATTCATTCAATGGCCCTTCTGTAGTCTCTAATAGGATTATAGGGAAACTAGTCTCTCTGTGAGGGAGATGGGTAGTTTAAAAATGTGTTGTTTGGATGCTACTTATTATCATATTTGGTGGTCATGTAAAAGTATTAAAGCTTTTTGGATTAAGATATGGTGGAATATTCAAAGAATTTTTAAAAGAAGGATAAAATTTACTCCACAATTGTTTTTGTTGGGTATTGTTTCTGATTGTGATGATAAAGAGATTATTTTAATGTTAAATTTAATTACTGCGGCTAGGTTGTTAATAGGGCAATATTGGAAGAAGGAATTTTTGCCTACTTTGCAAGAATGGTTTTTTAAAGTTTCCTAACTAGCGGAAATGGCAAAAATTTTGGCTTTCTTGAAAGATCAATCGCAAGAGAAGTATCTTTCGGTGTGGAAAAGATGGATAAATTTTATACAATATAAGTATGATATAAGAAAATATTATCTAGCTTTTGAATAATTTAAATAAGTTAGAAGTGTAATTGTTATTATTCTTTAATTTTTTTTTATTTTTTTATTTTTTTTACTTTTTTTCCTATTTTTTCTTTTGTTTTTCCTCTTTTTGTTTTTTATATATAATGGAGTTAAAGTATTTTACAATTAGTTTATTGAGTGTAATTATATTTGCTTAAGATGTATTTGGGTTTAAAACTTTTTTTCTTTTAAGATCTAGTTAAGCCTGTATTCAGCTCTGGGAAGAACGGGGGAGGGTTTTGGGATGGGTTGGGAGGGATTGGGGAAGGGGTTTTTATTGTAAAATTTTAAAAAAATTTAATAAAAAAATGTGATAATTAGAAGCAACCTAGAATTAAGGAGAAACTTCTTGACAGAACAATTAATCAGTGGAACAACCTGCCTCCAGAAGCAGTGAATGCTCCAACACTGGACGTTTTTAAGAAGAGACTGGGCAGCCATTTGTCCAAAATGGTGTAGGGTTTCCTGCCTGAGCAGGGGGTTGGACTCAATGACCTCCAAGGTCTGTTCCAACTTTATTATTATTATTATGGATCATCGCACAGTCAGCCAGATGTTCAGACTGGATTTGGCATTTTGTCTACCTATCGAGTCCTTACCCAGGACCTGGGATAGGCAGATGTGGATGTTTGATGGTATTACAGATATCGTCGCTTATTATTATTATTATTATTATTATTATTATTATTATTATTATTATTATTATTATTATTATTATAAAGGGTACTTCAAGCAAAAATGTTTAAGACCGAGTTCTGGTAGCAGATCCCAATTATCAACATAAAAGATAGCCGAGACTATTCCAAAATGGATTAGAAGCTCCTTTATTAAGCATGTTCCTATTTTATTGTGATCTGTCCTCTGAAATCCACTCGGAAAGTTTTATCTTACTCCTCACACAAAAAGCTCTGGATTGATTCCGATGTTTACATTTCTTCCATCTCGTTTGATGGACATGCAAAGGGATGTGCAAATAAACCCAATAATAAAACAGTTACAACTTTTCCGAACATAAAAAGTAGAGATTAATCCCGAACTAACAACATTCTTAAACATTTGACAAAACAATGTTGCCTTTGCTAAGTGCCTAAAGAAATAATAATGAGACGCCAAGTATCATTTCTCTAGGGAGGAAACTATACAATAATTTGGATCTGCTAAAAAAAAAAAAAGGGGGAGGTGTCCATTTGAAGCTTCCACCAGCCTTGCCTTTGGGGGAAGAGAAACATGTAAACAACCCCAGAAGAGAGAGACATAGAAAAAAGAGAAAGAGAGAGAGAAAGAGTTGAGAGTTTTATAATAATCCCACCTGGAGCATGAGCTGCCTCTTGGTAAATCTATCTAGCTTGGTGTGAACTGTCTATGAGCAGACTAGAGCACTTCAACTCATTGTTCTACTTTGGGGAGCAGATACAACTTTGGGTTATCTTAATTTTCTGTTCCCCCCCTTCTTGGAGGGGGGGGCAAAATTTCCCCTGCTTGATCAAGGGTTTTGATGGCTCCACTTCTTACCATTGGTAGCCTTCTGCCACCAACACAGTCTTTTGCCCTCAAGCCCCTTATGGAACAAATATGTGATAGTGTTTGTTAAAAAAAAATTTGTTCAAAAGGAAGCTTGTGAGGTGGCAAAAGACCTTCAAAAGCACCAGGGAAACATTTCAAGGTACATCACTGAGATGACCCCCAGGTTTTTGACCCAGGTATCACTTTTAAAACCTTGTGCTTATATTGTCCCACTTGTTCATTATAAAGTATATTCATGATTTGATTATAAATTAACTTTACCCAGTCCCAGCGGTTTTTCAGAACTCTAGAGCATTTTCCCTTATTGTCCTTTGCTTAATTAGTGGTAATATAAATTTCAACCTCAGCATTAGCCATTTGCAGCAGACCATCACATGTTGTACAATAAATGCAACTTCCTGACCTTCCCCAGTTACTAATAATGGATCTTAATTAGCAAAAAGGATGATACAACATTTGTCTTGTGCGCCAGCCTTATGCACCCACAAGGCCGGCCATTTCATTTAGTTTTAGGTACTCAGTGGCTAGCTTGGTGAATTTATTTCTCAAATATACAAACTAAAATTGAGCAGGAGGAATACTCAATCTGGCCCAATCTATGTGAGAAAATGCGCAGGTATTACACTAGCATCGTCTCCCCTTACAGCACAATAAATGTGAAAAAGTCACTATGATAGGATTATAATACAAATCACTATATGTTATCAACATTAAAAAAACGTTTGCTAAAGTACATTCCCTACCTCATTGGAATGTGTTCTGTTCTGGTGTTTTGCGCGATCAGAAGCATTGGAAAAGGCCTTATTGCAGCCCTCGTGTTCACAGACATAAGGTTTTTCTCCTGTATGTGACCTCAGGTGTGTCTTTAAGTTCTCTAGCCGTGAATAGGCTTTGGAGCAACCTTCAAACTAAAAACAAAAGAAAACTGGAGTGTTAATCAGCTGGAGGCATTTTTCCATCTCATCTGGTTTTAATCTCTCTTGAAGAGAATAAATCCCAGGCAGATCTTAGCTTTCATGAGCAGTCTGAGACAGAAAAGGTCTCCCCCGCCTCCCCCCCCTCCTTTTTAATACAATTTGTAATCTGGGCAACTGATGGAAAGCAGGTGCTTTTACTTTTTAAGACCAACCCACTCGTTGGGGCTCTTTTCATGCACAATTTTCATGCAGGGAGCATTCCTGTTAGGGTCTATGTTTAGAACCGGGCTACAGAGATCTGGATAGTCACTAAATTGCAGCAGAACACACCAAAATCCTTAACCAGCACACAGCAATTCTGAATACAAATATCCATATTTGAGCAGGACAGCTGGCCAATCCAGTTTCCTATTTCTATGCCATGATCTTGGTATTAGATGGGATTGTCTTCCATTCAGTTCTTTATCTTGAATAAGGATGCAAGTCGAATGTTGTAGCCTGGCCTTCTGTTCGATGTCCTATTCCTTACCTCAGTTGATTTTTAAAGAACAAGGGCAGGCTGAGAAATCTTGGATAATAAACCTGAACATTGCCCCACTAAATGAGCTTTTAATATAGATTATGGCAATGTGTGGAACGGGTTTTTTGCTCTGAAGTTAGAAGTGTTAATAGGGTAACAGCTGGCTAAATGCTACCATTCCCAGATGCAGGAAGACATTGCTTTAACCCTTAGAATTCTCAAATTACTTTGTGGGATTTCAAATAAAGACCACATCTAAATGGGTGTTGTGAATCAGACATAATTAATTTGCTTTACCAGGAGACCAGCAGAAAGAGGAGAATAGGAATCTTGCTCACTGGATGTGTTTGTGCAGCAAGCTCCTTTTGTAATTCAAACAAGTCAGTTGCTTTCTTTGTGAAATCTCTGTTCTGCCCTGTGTATGCTAATCTGCAGGAGATAGTGGCATACAGCATAAGGTCTCCCTGTGATTTGGATCAGTCTTTGCTCTTTTGCTGGATATGCAGTGGATATTTAATAAGCACAACTATATAGAGCAGGGGTTCTCAACCTTGGCAACTTTAAGACTTGTGGACTTCAACTCCCAGAATTCCTCAGCCAGCAAAGCAAAGCTGACTGAGGAATTCTGGGAATTGAAGTCCACAAGTCTTAAAGTTGCCAAGGTTGAGAACCCCTGATATAGAGAGTAATAAATGCAGGGATATTCTTCACATACTGAAACCTACTCTGTGCTTATGTGGAGGATTATAGTATTGGAGACACTTGGGGCCAGGGCTGAAATTGGACTGCGGGGTTATCTCAATCGCCTGCCAAACATCTTCCCTTCCCCTCCTTCTGCACCAGATCCCACCTCTGCAAAGAAACCCTGAGTTTTTCTACCTTGAGGTAATAAAAAGAGTTTCCCTCCAATCAGACGCAGATCAGAGAGATCCTCTTTTCCTTCCCCACCGCTGAAAGAGTCCATCTCATTCTCTCAATGCTACAGCAGAAGAAAGAGTTTACGTTTAATCTGCTCCAGACTGCTTCTGCATGTGTTGGGCAGGGAAGCTGAGAGCCACATGCCTGCAGTAGCTTGTTTGCTGATGCCTCAGGCTGAACACACTTCCGCAGTGACACTCTCTTACCGTGCACTTGTGGGGTTTTTCTCCAGTATGCCTTCGCATGTGCACTACTAGCATGTACTGTGCTTTGAAAGGCTTCTGTTCCCGGGTACATTCCTGCCAGCGACAAACAAACTCCTTCTTCTCCCCATGAATATGATCATTGTTGATGTGCTGAAAGGCAAGGAAAAGAAGCTGGGCTGTGACATGAGACGCTCGGCATCTCCCATGTCACTTCTGCCAGGAAGATGGAAGGAAATCTTATTGTGCTCGAGTCTCCCCTTGACACGTTTCCTGGAAGTTCTGGATTGCTCTTAGATGAACAGGATCCTGCCACTGCATTATGGATGCAGTTAACAGTTAGTTAAGTGTAATTTGTGTCTTTTTCTTTTCTATGCCTTCAGTCAATGTTGACTCCTGGTGAATGCCTGGACAAATCCCTGCAGTTTTTCTTTTTCGAGAACCAGTGTGTTGTAGCGCTTAAGGCATCAGGTTAGAAACTGGGAGACCATGAGTTCTAGTCTGACCTTAGGCAGAAAGCCAGTACTTCTTTTTTCACTTCTGAAAAACCTTGACAAGAAAACGTCAGGGACTGGTTGGTCCAGGCAATTGCCAGGAGTGAACACTGACTTGAAGGCACACACACACACACACACACACAAATAAAAATAAAGAAAAAAAATGTTCTATTTTAAACTTGCAATCTGCTCAGAGGATTTGCTTCAAAAGGCAGTGCCAGATATTTCAGAATATATTAATATACACGCTTAGTTGGGGAAATCCTTCTGCCCAACAGATGCTTTGTGTTATGGATTCAAAAGTATTACCTGTTGTCTTCAAGATCCACAGCAACAACAAAACCTGGTCAGAGGAACATTAGAGCATAAGAATTTCTTAATTTTAATCCTGTTATGGTAGAACTCTTTTCAAATGAAATGTACAACCCCGATTATTAGGTCAGTTTGTCACATTTATAGCCTGCTGTTCCAACAAGAGCTTTGAAGCAGCTTGTTGTTTTTCAGGACTTGTCATTCAGGCAATGTGCAGGAACAAGCTTCTTTTGCTCTATGTATTTGTAGAATGCAATTTAAGGACACTCTCAAATTGCAGACAGCTCCTAAAATGTGGTCTAAACAGAGCATTGCTAATAGGAAAGCCTATAAGTAACCATTTAAATCCACAGCATAAAAGCTGTGATTCTTCCTTATTGTGACAATATGGCAGTTCTTATTTGTTGTCCCTTACTTGCTCATTCCCTTAGATCTATAAGAACATCTTCTTTGGGCTTCTAGCTATTGCCCATAGAAAAGCTCAGGCCAACATATGCTGGTTTAATAGGCACTTCATTGCTTGAAGAGATCTGTAGGTTTTTGATGGGGTACTGAGATTTCTTGCATTCACATCAAACAGAATTTTAATGTTGCTTCAGAAAAATTCACGACAAATAATGAAGTATCAAAGTGGAAAATGTGTAATGTACATACAGCTATTAAGAAAAATGAAGAGAGTACTGCAGAATCATATGTGGGCACCATGTAATTCTGCCATAGAAAGGGATGGTCTTCTGTGGTGATAGTCACACAGTGAAATTAACCTGACTGAATCCTTAGAACCACAAAGGTCTCTGCTAGTACAGAGTGTGGAGATATGGGACTAGACCAGAGGTAGACAACCTTGGCTCTTTTATGACTCATGGACTTCAACTCCCAGAATTCCTGAGCCAGCATGGGGAAACTATGGCCCCTTCATGACTTGTGGACTTTAACTCTCAGAATTCCTGAGCCAGCATGGCTCCGCTTGGAAACCTCTCCCTTTCCCCTCAGCGTGGCTGGCTCAGGAATTCTGGGAGTTGAAGTCCACGAGTCATAAAAGAGCCAAGGTTGCCTACCTCTGGACTAGACCGTAAGACCAGTTCCACTTCATGAATTGACATTACCTCTGCTTGTCCACAGCCTCCACCTAGTGATGTGTTGTTGAAAATGACCCCAGGTTAAATAATTATTGAAAAATTCCTAAATCACTTGTAACAAAATAAGTGGATGGCAGAAGGATAAGTCCTATGTTATATATTTTTAAACACAAAGCATCCTCAGGTCTGTAAGATTTCAGGGGACCCCAGTTCTACAGTTGCAAAAGTACAGGAGATCACTAGATGACAACCAAGAGACTCATATAACTTTTCTGGCATCTAGTAATTTTCTAGGTGCTTGTAGCCCAAACCTGGTACCTCTAATTTTACTCAAATGTTAAATTGCTAAAGAGTTTAAACTAAAGTATTAACTCTTTGTTTTAAGGTTGATTTTTATTACTACATTTCAGGAAAAATGTAATTACATATAATTATCCATATCTCAAAGAATATGAAACAAACCATTTCACAACCATGTAATTGTTTCTAGATACAAAGTCTTAAAATGTAATACCTGAAGGGCTTCTTAGAATCTGGATTTCTTTTCCATTTAACACTGAGATTTAACATGTGCACTGCATCCCTAGGGGCACTCAACTGAGACGAGTCTGCATACTTTTGAGGAGAAGCATTCATGTGAAAGCAAAACTTCCTTCAATAAACTGCATACAGCACACAATCTCATGTTATCTTTCTAAATTCTTCATATGCATTTCTGTCTAATACTTTGCAGCAGCATGTCTTCCTGGCTCAGGGCTCTCCTGATTATTCTTCAATTGATTTTTGCTCTTCAGCAAAACCCCTCCTATTTTAGACCGGCTTTAAAAAAAAAACAACCCTTTCCTTTTATCTGTAGAATTTAGAACAATATTCTTTTAAAGTAGGATTATCTCATTACTTCCTCATAATATGTTTGATGGAAAATAATGAGTCATTTTTGATATAATGGCAAGCCATGGTATGACTTTTTTTTTGCCTATCAGAAGTTGTTTATATTAACAGTTTTGGGCAAATGCATTTACTATTGCATTCGAATAGGAAAAACCCATTTGCACAAACAATGATGAACTGGTTTGTTGAGAATTAAAAGCAAAAGTAATTCTTAAGTAATTCTATTTATTGTATTGAAGGAAGGAGGAGGAATGAATGGAGAGGGATACCTACAAGGTGGGGGCAAATGACAACACAAGCATCATGGCATCATGATACAAGTAATGCAACGTACCTATCTGCCTCAGGTGTCATGTTGTAATATATAATTACTTTGTGTGGGTCATGATATCATGACTCAAGTCACCTTTAAGGCTTCATTATAACTGGTTACAGAGGCTATGCACGAGGCTCATGGGTTTAGTATTATGTCTGAAGCCCAAAGGCATCCAACGAATGTTATGGCCAAGCAGTGTGCTGAACCAATGGCATCTGAGTTGAAGTGGATCACATAGCATCACTACAGTGGCATCAGCCAGTGAAGTAATGCACTCTCCACATAATATTTTGCCTTTGCGGTGATTGGAGGGATACACCTTAATGTGATCATGAGGAAGAGCTCATAGACCATTGTAATGAGCAGAAGGAATGCTCACTGAGGAACAGGAAGAAGACCCACAACCAAGACAACATTCAGATAAAAGAAATCTAAGTTCGGGACAAGATTGTAATCTGAGTAAACATTGCAGACAAAACCTTCCCTGCTTCTCATGAAGATAGGTGGGTGTCTGCATGGGGCAGGGTCCATTCAGACTTGCAAGATTATGTTACTGTAATCCTATTGTAAAAGTAGTTTTAGCATGCAGGATTTTGATTTCTTAAACAGAGCCGATCTTGAAGGGCTAACAGTCATTTCCTCACTAGTGCCTTACCATGTTCATATCATCGCCTAGTCATTGTTGAAATGATTTTTTTTTAAAAAATGGTTTTATGATCCCAGACCAATAAAGAAATTTTTAAAAGCCTATCCTCACTATTTCAATTCTGGACAACACTGGATGACTTTTTTGTGTGTAACTTCGAGACTGTTTTGACTCTTGGTGACTGCTGAAGATTCATTCCGTAGTTTTCTTGGCAAAGTTTCAGAAGCGGATTGCTTTTGTCTGCTTCTTAGGGCTGAAAGAGAGTGGATGGCCTAAAGTCACCCAGCTGGCTTTGTCCCTAAGGTGGAACCAGAACTCACTGTCTCCTGAATTCAAGCCACTACACCAAATTGGTTCTTTGGATGATTCTAGAATATCTTATGAACTGCTATTGGGAAAAATGCATTATTTTTTACTTCACAAGAATACCATTACAATGAACAACATTTTGAGGTTCCAGAAAAAAGGTGAGATACTAGTCTAATAAAGAAAGCTACTTGGTGATTAATTCAGATGGGCACCTCATACTAAGGCAGTCATCACTCAGAATTACCTAATATTTTTCCTCTAGAAAATTATAAGACAGCATGAGCAGGGATAGCAGGACCTAGCAGAAAACTAGTTTCAATGGGAAGGCATTATCACCTGTACTATCATAACGACTCTTAGGACATGCTCACCTGTTAGGTAGGAGAAGGAAGTGAACATGACTGTGAGTGCCAGGAGAGCAGAGTGTCAAGCAGAAGTAGTCCTGCTTGTCTCTTCATTGCATCTCTTCATTGCACAATCAGCACAGGACTGGATCACTCAATAATTAGTCCACCAAGGTTTGCAGATTACAATAAAGTCCAACAACAGATCAGTATTGATCCAAGAAGGCTGCGTGTGGCAACAGTTAGTCTTACATGCTGGTTGCTGGGACAAATGGAAAACTATCAAAGACTTTCCTGCAGCTACATTCTTCTGAACATTTGACTTCACTTGGCAAGGTTTACCTATGCTCAATTGGATCATTTTTAAAGCTTTGTAGTTTGAATTTTGACTATGCAACTCACGATATGATGGAAGACTAAATCCTCAGTCCAAGGGTTTACGTCTCTTTCCTAAGAACACTTACGTGGACCAGCTGCTCCTGTGTATCGTACTCCTTTGTACAACCTTCCCAGTGACAGTTGGTCTCATAAATAACATCAGGCTCCTGCTTGCATTCGTCCTTATCAAGTTCTTCTTTCAAGTCTGTCAGAAGTTCCTGTAAGATATAAAACTATTTTAAGTAAGATGGACTGGCTTTGCCTGAAATCCTCAGTCACCCATAGATTAGCTAGCAGGTGCTATTGTGTGAAGGAAAAGAGCATTCCTGATCTGCTTAAGAAGACCTGCACTGAAATATACTTGCATGAAGAGACAAGCACCATATGCTGGCCAGTTGGTGGAAAATGAGAACAGATATTCCGCCTTGTATTAAAGACACATCTTCAGCCTGGGTGTTCAACAGCCATTTTATTTTTCTATTTGATTTTCTCAAAACTCATTTTGCTCTCAAAAATTGATGTGGCTTTTATCATGCATTTTTGTTAACAAAACATAAGGAACAAATATTAAGTACAAAACAAGAGCTAAGTACTGCAAAGTCAGAAAATGTAAAGGATCAAAGCTAATATAAATGATTTAAAATAGCACAGGTAAGTTGTTTTTTTAAAAAATGGGTTGCTTTGTGTACAAACTTGGAACCAGGACATTCCCTGGAGTGGTATTTCTTAACAGGGAGGGGAGAGTGAGGACCACTGGCCAAAGACATTTAGCAGGCATGCAGGAAGAGGCTCCTTTAAAGATTTAAATCATAAGCCATTTACTGCTTTAAAAGGTAAAGTGGTAACACTTTTAAAAAAAAGGCACTCAAGCAAACAGGGAGGAATGTAGGATGTATAAGAATTCTGTCTCTGCTTCTACTGGGGGAAAATCATGGATGTTCTGCTCCCAACAGAATCCATGATGGCACAAATGCAAAAATCAAGTCAAGTCTAGCCAGGGCCTGGCTTCCTCTTAAAAACCCAATGTCATGGTTCCGATAGATGAGATCAGTAAAAACAGAACTCCAAGGCAGAAAGTTTCCTTAAAGAACATACTTATTGGCTACAAAGTATTGGCATGATCAAAAGTGAAACCAAGACTGATGTTTCCTCCCAAAGGTTACAATATTGTGAAATTGAACTTCTCACCCCCAGCATCATGTCATAAATCACATTCTCTAACGAAGGCTCAGCCCACCAAAACCCAGGCAGCAATGACCTTGGTTCTCACTGGACAATTTATTGCTTTGTCTAACCTTAAAAGCACACATCCCCCCTCCCATATTGTGGCAACTGAAAACAAGTAGAAATAGCTTTAGCCAAATTCCTTGCAGCGTTGACACCCATGGCACTAGAGCAAGAAGAGTGGACGTACTTTATTCAGCATATAAGGTGACAGAAGCTTCACTTCGTTTTTCTTGAATTGTTAAAATACCCTTCCTGCTCTTAGCAAGCAGAGTTTTTCTCCAGGCCATCTTAGAACAGGGGTCCCCATTCCCCAGCCTGTGGCCCACTATTGGGCCGTGAGCTGTTTGGAACTGGGCCGTGGATGTGGTGAGTGTGTGTGCATTCCATTTGAGTGAGCTGTGGGCAATGGAGCTGGGCACACACTTGCCAGGTGCTGATGTGGAACCATCCCCTCTTCTACCCCCACAAAGCTGAAAAGGTTGGTGAACTGTCCTAGAACACCAAAGTAATTACACTTTTTGCTTATCAGAACTTTATGAATAGCTCTGCTTGACATGAATGTGAGAAGACTGGAGAAGCGGGAGCAAAGTTACATGCCTAATCTTGTTTAGCATCATTTTTAAGCTTTTCACATTATTAGGTCACCACATGATAATCCAGAACATGTTGCTGAAGGAGAAGTCTCTTACAATGAGCCTGTGATGCAGTGAACATGGAGGATATTTCCATTCTTCATGAAAAGAGAAAGACCCAGCGGCTACTTCATACCTCATACCTCAAATAAAATAAGTTCAAACCCCTCCCTTCATTGGTATGTTGGGAGACCATAAGAAAAGGGATCTAACCCAGAAATCTATAGATAAGAAAATGGATAAAGTCTGGCTTCAGCTGAAGTTCCAGAGCCAGCCCTAAAGATAAGCATAACCAGACTATGCCTATTTGCAAGAGGTGATAGCTGAGATATTAGCCAAATCTAGTGAAAGATCCTGCAGCTTAAATAAACCACATGGGCCCTAACTCTCAAGATCCACCTTCAGCCTGCAAACCTTACAGGAGGAGGGTGATCCCATCGAGAACTGATTAAATACGATCTCCTATAAAATGTATAATACAAATATAAAGATATGTTAGATAATATATGAGATAGAATGTAGGATGCTCAGTTGAAGAGAATGAAAAGCACAATATGAAAACCACGTGCTTATATCTGAAACAGAGCTCCAGTGTTCCCCAGAAAAAGCAAAAGGAGAAAAAGCATCGCTTCAATATTTCATGGTAGGAGCAGAAGAAACCAGTGCAATTTTCAATAAACACTTTAAACATAAACACAAGTGTATGGTGCATATGCTTTTTGGGAGGACTGAGCTGATAGATCACACTCTGATGGGTTGTCCAGCATCAATAAAAAGGGGTGACAGAAACTATGAATTTGATGCTTAGGCAGCCTGTGACCTGGGTGCTGCATGGGACCCTGAACCAACAAAAGGAGTTGCACAGGCTAGCAATCACCACCTTCAGGAGGTCCTTAGAGAAACATTCCAGGGTTTCCTGTTTGCTCCCATAATCCTGCTCAAGACTGCTGAAAGGAGTGGGATGAAAGAGAGAGAAGGAGGGGAGAGGGAGATGGGAATGGGTATCACTGCTGGGCGGGCATGTGAGTGTGTTTCAGCTCCCAACTGCAGGCTGCCCACCTATGTTTAAAAGAAATCTGACAGAAGTTTGTCCAGCTTTGCGGTTAATTATAATTTATTTATTTAAAACATTCATGTAACCATGGCCATCTTATAACCAGTTGAAGGCAGCTCCCAAACTATAGAACTGTGGAGAATTCATGACAGTCTTTTAGTCTTCATTTCTCAAGCTTGAATTTAAAACAACTGATAATTCAAACTGCTTAAAAAAAAAAGATTCTCCTCAGAAAGATCAGTTTTATCAAAGATGCAGTAAAAATATGACTTTTCCAGACTAGGCTGTTTTCCAATTCTGATGAAAAAGTTAAGCATAATGCAGTCTTTAATCCTAAATTTTCCAGTGTCCTTACAATGCTGCTTTTATTTTTATTATGCCCGTACAGAGCTTCAAATACATTGATACAAAAGCATCCATAGCTCTACTTGGCATCCAATTCTTTTAGTATCCATTGGTTTTCAGGACTTGCTGGGAATTGCCTCTAGGTGCAACACTTTGTTCATTAACTGTTCATTAACAGTCAAACTGAATCAATAAAAGACTTGTTTTGGTATTTTATTCTTTAGGTCCTCGCGGTGATTTCTAGTCACAACTCTGAATTTTATATAATTCCTTAAAGGCTGTGAGGTAGTGAGATTAGTGTAATTAGTCAAAAACACCCACTGTTGATTGCTTATTATAAAATGCTGGGGAAAACCCAGACTACTTCTATAAATCATTTTTATAAACCACCCTAAGTTTTGATAAGTTAGGACAGCATAGAGATAAACAGTCAGTCAAGGACTAGCAAGTACACATTGTAATGTATTGGGAAGGGTCAAAATTGTCCAGTATTAATGGACCAAGAATACCTGTAGGAGGATATGTCAAAAGCATCAAGATAGTGACTGTGATGGAGGCCCTGCCCTTATTTTTTTAACATGTGTCACCCCCTTTCTCCCACTAAAGAGTGTTCTAATTTTGTATTATTCAAAAGGGTCAATAGTTTTAGAGCGTAATTGGGCTATTGATGAGAATGCACTGCTGCAAGGCCTGCCATCTTTTTACACCTAGCTTTCTGTTCTAACGGCATAGTAGCTTCTAAGGAACAAGATTACCAGGAGTACAACAATACTAATATTTTAAAACAGTGCCCCTGACATGCTGCAGAAATCCTAGTGTGATCTTTGGAATTGACAGAAGGCACACATTCCCTGGGTTATGCTTTTGTGTTGCTGTTTGCAAGGCAGGCAACCATCTGAGGCTGTGATTCTACACTTCTTAAAAGTTGAATTCACCTGAAATCAACTTAGGCCTTCATTACATAATGCCACACTCAGTTTATGGCCAAAGGCATACACAAAAGAAATTTAACCAAGTTGGCTAAATGGGCTTTTATGAAACATATATATACCGTAAATGCCGGCGTACAAGGCGACCCGGTGTATAAGACGACCCCCGTCTTTATAGCCGGGCCGCATTCCTAGAACATCGTCTTATACGCCGGAAACTACCAGTATTTACGGCGTATAAGACGACCCCCGACTTTGGCGCCGATTTCAGCGCTCGCAGAAGTCATCTTATACGCCGGCATTTACGGTACGTGCAAATATGTACAGTATTTGTCACATGGAAATATTATGGCATACCTGTAAAATATTTTCAAGGAGAGTTCTAAATGTAAAATGTGTGAAGAAATCCCTGCTTGGCTACAGATGCCAAATATCAGAATCAGGATCTCCACTGGCAGATGGAATTACTGCCACTTAGATGCCCCTTACATTCCTTTACAAACTCTTTTTCCCGGGAGAGAGGAAATGTCTTTTCCCATCTCTTGGCATAGAGCAGCTATCTGATTTGATTAAGCTGGGAGTAAAGAGGGATTGTTGTTTCAGTTCCTGTGTTGTTTGTTGTCTTTGTATGCCGAGCTGTTCCCAAACCAAATGCTCTAGAGAGATGTCTTTTTGCCCTAATCGTGCTGACTACAGCATGTTTATCTTTCCTAGATATGCTATCTTCATCAATTTTACCAGCCCCCTGATGATTGCACATGTTGCTGTCCCCATGCATCATGCCAAAACCCGCTTCTGAACTGGAACCGAAAGAGAAATTTGTCATAAACTCTTCTGTTGGCTTGACAATAGCAAGCCTCATATTTCATGAAAATGAACTGCCTAGAGCACTCCCAATAGTTTACAATTGTGATAAAGAACCGTCAGAGAGTGTGTCAGCCATTAAGCAGCCTGGAACTCAGCAGTTCTGATAAGGACATGGAAACTGGTGGGCCTTTCTGGGTGTCAAATACTGTGTCACTGGGGTAAAGGATGCTGCTCTCAGCAATTGCTTCCTGGAGAGGAGCAAGTCTTTTCTTGGGAGCTTCCTATTGTGACGCAAGTTCTTCTTGTCAACTATCTTTGCTCTCTTGATACCATTATCACTTGCTTGGCGAGTCCAAAGTGTCAAACATCTTTCTTTCAGTTGCCTAGAGGCAGTATGACATGTCTGTTGAAAAAAAAAGGCCATGATCCAAGGATTCTCAAAGTGTTCCTTCCCAATCACTCGTAGAAATCTGCAATCACGCTGAGATGTGCAGGAGGAGATCACAGATCCCGAAACATTTCCACTGATACATTTTGTCTAGAACCCCCCCCCCCCTTTCATTCTAGCCTATGCAACTTTCAAAGTGCTTTCTATTCAGGATGTGACTTGCAAATTTGTTTAATTCAGATCACTGATTCCCATACTCAGAATGAAACTGTACCTGAAGTTCTTGAGACTGCAACCCTGAACACTCACTGACTAGAGAGAGTGTGCCTATTTAACACAGAAAAAGAATGTAGTTTATATGACATCAATCTTTGCAGTAATCAATTTTGAATAATTTTAGGTGAAACAGCAAAGGAAAGACATATTGCTTGTCAGCCAGCAAGAACTATTTCCCAATTCCAGTAAGGCTCCATAACTTAGTGCATTTCAAAGACAATGAACATCACACATTTGAAGTTGCTACCTTCTTCCTTACTGCAAATTCACAATTTTCCCAAATAGTTGAAGGTTACAAAATTCTAGCCAATCAGTCCAAGCACTGAATATACTCTGTCCTTTAAGAGTTACCTGAGTCGGTGGAGAAGCTGGTGGTAGAATCTCTGTTTCAGTCTTGACTTTACTACGTTTATTAATTACTGGATTGACTGTGCTGCTAACGGCCGATTCACTGCTTTGCTTGTTCTAGTAAGGCAAAAATAAAATGGGGATGAGTTAAATGATCATGATCGGAGTGCTTAAGTAAATGCAGCATTGCAATTGACTGAAATCAGTTATTTTCAGATGACTGATAAGCAGCTGTTGTTCATCAAGATGAAAATGAATCTAGGAAAAGAAAAAAATGGGGAGGGGGTTTTGTCTGTTAAAGCCTGCCTGCATTTTTCAAATGCCATTATGCTGAGTGAAATATCCCTTGTAATGGATTTCACCCAAAAATGTACAATATTATTGTTAGTCTATGATGGACAAGCCATGTCATTATTTTCCAAGGGAGCAGGAACAGCTTGCAGCCCCAGGATCAGAGGGGGTCGCTCAAGATCTTGGGTCTGGCCCTCAGAGTTCCCCAACGCTGCTGAAAAAAAATTACATTTTAACACACCAGTAAAGGAAAATTATTATTCATGTTGGCAACAATCCTGTGAATTGTGTATGAAATCAAATAAAATATTATCTAGGTTCACCCATTTTGGAGTTTCGGCACAAAACATCACAACCAAATGCCAAATTTGGCCAACGTATGTTGTGTTCCCCTAGTTCAGGGGTAGGCAACCTTGGCTCTTTTGTGACTTGTGGAATGACTGACTCAGGAATTCTGGGAGTTGAAGTCATAAGTCATAAAAGAGCCAAGTTTGAAGACCCCTGCTCTAGTTTATGGTTCAGGATAGACTTTCTACTAAGGAATAAAACTTCATTGCCATTAAAAAGAAGCCCTTTGGATAGCAAATATTTTGCAGTGTTATTTTTCACATCCCACCTCTGATGAACATCCACACAGAAACACAATTACTTGAACTAGTTGCTTCAATATAAATTGGACTAATCGTATGGATTTCACCCAAGCTGAGAACTTCAGTTTACTTTAACTGATTCATCTGCACGTTGGAGACAAATAGCTGTATTCATCCCAAATAGATACCTTTAGCCCTCACTTGCCAAATAAAAGACACCCTTGTCATCAGAATGCTATCTGATGAAGGGCAAATACACATATTAAGTTAATCTTGTAGCAATGCAGCTGCTTGGTAATCTGCGTACCAGTTCATTTTCATGGCAGATCACTGCAGAAGCACGAGCACCGAGGAACAGTTGGCCAAGGATAAGACAGAGCACAGTATGAAGGGGACCAGAACTGGGAAGACTTCGGATGCCAACAATTTAACATGAAAAGCCAGGGTTGTGATGACTGAAAGTGACAGGACAATTGATAAGATTAATGCTAAGAGACTCACCTGGGCTATGTGACAGTACTTTCAACAAAGCCACCTGAACCCCTGCCAGAAGCTGTTGGGAATCCTACCTGGTTGGACTCAGTGATGCAGTTGCTGCTGTTGCTGATCTGAGCAGGAGAGGAGTTGACCGAGATGACAGCCACATGCTGCCGGGCAGGGAAAGTTGGAGATGGCTGTAGAAAAGGAGGGGTATGTCCAAATGCTGAGCTCAGGCCTCTTTGCTGGTTCAGAATTTGTTGGTATGTCACTGGGTTGATCGGATGAGGGAAGGTAAAGGCAGGACTGGAGAGAAGGAAGAAAGACAAAACTGGATCGGCGGAGCCTTTAACAATTACAACAAATTACTGAAGTTTGCTAAGGGCAGTTGCTGAGCTGAAGTCAGCCTGGCTGGGCTCCTTCTTCCTCCTCAAGGCAACAGGTTGGCCCAGGCATCTGTCTTGCTTATGAATCTTAAAATCTTTGTTTGCAAAAAAAGGCAGAACTAACCCAGATGAGTTGGATCCCTAATGAACAATAACTTTAGATTATTACATTTTTTTTTTGGTACATTCTGTTTTTTCCAAGGAATCCCCTTAAGGCAATTTCTCTTGACTTTGTGCTTCTTTTGTTTTGTTTTCCGAGACTGATAAAGCTCACTGGACCTAGTCTTTGTCAGTTGCATATTATCTCTTTGCTGACCATGAATTACACACAGTCAGTCCAAGATTATCAGAAGATCACTGTTGATGGGCGCTAGAGATTTTTTGGAGCCATGTATCATTCAAGGTCAGTATTTCTATTGAGATACTGTGTACTGTTTACTATAGTTTCCTGGCATTCAGTGGCCTGCTGCTTCTGCTATTTGGATTCTTCAAGGGACGAATTATACATGTGGAAATTACTGCTTATTATAAATTATAAATTGGATTAATGGACATGTAAAACCTTTAAATCTACCAAACGAAGTACAAGAATGTGCTGGTGCTTAAAAAAGAATATTTACTCATACCACCAGGAAGGGTCTCATTTTAATTATTTTGTTTTATTAGTGGTTCATCTAAGGCAGTGGTTCTCAACCTGTGGGTCGGGACCCCATTTGGGGTCAAACGACCATTTCACGGGGGTCGCCAAACAACGCAGTCCACCATTTTTTTCCCCTTTTCCTTAGCTGTGCTACTCCCTTTTATTCTATTGGCTTTTGAAAGCCAATAGAATAGACTCTCTTGAATAGAGTCTAATTCTATTGGCTTTCAAAAGCCAATAGGAATTGTCCAGGCTGTCTCTGCCCTGCTGAGCCCACCAAAAGTCCCATTCTGCAAACGGTGCTGCACCAGTTGAGTAGTCCTCGACTTACGACCGGTTGAGTAGTCCTCGACGTACGACCAGTTGGGGGTCGCGGCATTAAAAAGGTTGAGAACCACTGATCTAAGGATTGACACATTTATAAATAATCAGAGAAAATAATTTAAATAACATTGCTCAGTTGTTTATAATTGTCAGAGAAGTAGTTTCTGAAGCATATAAAATAATCCACTTGAGATGTACTCACTTTCAATTTAATGGAAAAAGACCATACCTCTCTGTGTTTCTGAAATCAGGGAATAGCTTCATCTCTGTATACCAGGGGTCTCCAACCTCCAGTCCATGGACCGGCACTGGGCCATGGCACACCAGAAACTGGGCCGCGCAAACAAGTGAAGCCCCAATCATGGGATGGAGGCAGCATGTAAAACTACACCCCTTCCAGTCTGCGGAAATACCTCCCTCCATAGAATTGGTCCCTTGTGCCCAAAAGCTTGGGGGGGGGGCGTTGCCATTTACTAGTAAAAGCCTTTAGGATCAGTTTACAAACAAGACATCTGCACAAGTTCCATTTTTAAAATAACCAGACAAATATGGTCCACTGAATGTGAGAGAATGAAAATGTTTATTCTGGACCTGTTGCTTTAACTGTAGAGAAGACATGGGCATTTTATAGCTCCTGGGCCACGTCTGGTCCCTTGGTTGTCCTGATCCAAAATTAAATAGGGCTTTTCTGCGAGAAGTACCACTGTGGGGGAAGTTAAGTGCTTTTGCAAGCCTGGCAGGCCAGCCCCTCTTGCACTTTGGAAGGCAGGTAGATAGGTCCCTCCTTGGGCTGCCAGTGGTGCAGTAGACCAGGGGTTCCCAACCCCCAGGCCGTGGCATGCCAGCAACCAGTCTGCACAAACAAGCAAAGCCCCATCTGCAGGATGCAGGCAGCACACAAAACCACACATCTTCTGGTCCGCAGAAAAATCTCTTTCCACAAAACCGGTCCCTGGTGCCCAAAAGGTTGGGACCTCTGCAGTAGATTGATCTCTCTTAAGGCCATCGAAGGCCTGGTAGACTGGTCCCTCCCAGGTCATGCATGCAATACAATTGCATTGCTTTTATTTTGAAGGCAATTCTTATTTTTTTCCCAATATAGTTATGTGTATGTGCTCATGTGCATACCTATGCACTCATTGGTTCAGCTCTCCACAAGAGTCCCAGTTTGGCCCCTGGGGAAAATGAATTACCCATCTCTGCTGTAGGTAAGGATTGTGCCAGAAACTGAAAAGTTGAGAATTTCATTGCCTGAGGTATTTCATCTTCCCTTACCTTATTGCCCCTGCTGATAGATGGCCATAAGAGCCACTAGCGGCAGAACTACTTCTGGAATTATTGATATAAGCGACCAGGGAATTGGGTGAAGTCCGGATCATGGTCTGGAGATCAATGCTGGCATCAGACAAGGGGGATATAGAAAGTGCTCGCTTCCTGCTGAGTCTGGGGGTTACTCTTGGGCTGGAGAATCTTGACACTGTGTGAAATGAAAATAAGGAGAGATAGCATAGTTCCAGAGTAAAAGAAGTTGGTTTTAAATCTTTTTAAAACAAATATTTCAACACAACACAAAGTAATTTGAAATTTACCGTTTGAGTGATGTTTATATATGGTCAGCAAGAATAAATGCCTTTGGGCATTCAGGATGATAACCTCAGTTGTTATTACAGTAGTGACCACAAGTGACTCCTGATCTTGAATGACAGAAAGAGAAAAATAGAATGCTACTATCTATTTCTATCCATGCTATGAAATGGGAACATTTCCAAGGTATCCTGCTAGGGTGGTCTGCAATCAATCACAATAGATCTGGAAGGGACCTTGGAGTTCTTCTATTCCAACCCCCTGCTCAAGTAGGAGACCCTATACCATTTCAGATAGGTGGCTGTCCAGTCTTTTCTTAAAAACCTCCAGAGATGAAGCACCTACTACTTCTGAAGGCAAGCTGTTCCACTGGTTAATTATCCTCACTGTCAGGAAGTTTCTCCTTAATTCCAGGTTGCTTCTCTCCTTGATTAGTTTCCATCCATTGTTTCTTGTCTTGCTTTCTGGTGCTTTAGAAAATAAATTGACCCCCTTCTCCCTGTGGCAGCCTCTCAAATACTGGAATGCTGCTGTCGTGTCCCCCCCAGTCCTTTTTTTCCTTTAGACTGGCCACTCCCAAATCTTACAACCATTCTTCATTCTCCAGGCCCTTAACCTGATGATTAAGGATTTATAAAGCGGTACTAATACTTCATGTAATTTTGATTCTATGCCTCTGTTTATACAACCAAGGATGGTATTAGCCTTTTTGGCTCCTGCCTCACACTGCTGGCTCATATTTAAGAGATTGTCCACTAGGACTCCAAGGTCCCTCTCACTGTTACTGTTTTGGAGCCAGGTTTCGCCTAATCTGTACTTGCACCTTTGGTTTTTCCTGCCTAGGTGTAAAACTTTGCTTTTCTCCACATTAAATTTCATGTTGTTGGATAGGGCCCATTGTTCAAGTTTGTCAAGATCTTTTTGGATCCTGAACTTGTCTTTTGGAGTGTTGGCTATTCCTGCCAGTTTAGTGTCATCTGCAAATTTGATGAGTTCCCCTTCTATTCCCTCATCTAAGTCATTTATGAAGATATTGAAGAGTACTGAGCTTAAGATGGAACCTTGTAGTACCCCACTACTTACTTCCCTCCATGTAGATGTAGTACCATTAAGGACGACTCATTGAGTATGGTTTGTCAGCCAGTTACAAATCCATCTGGTGGTGATGCTGTCTATTCCACATTTTTCTAGCTTACAAGAAGTAGGTTGTGGTCTACTTTGTAGAATGCCTTATTGAAATCTAAGTATACTATGTCCACAGCATTTTGCTGGTCTACTAGTCACTTTATCAAATAATGAAATAAGATTGGTTTGGTATGATCTGTTTTTAACAAACTCATGCTGGCTACTAGTTAGAACTTTATTTGTACACAGATCTGTTTCTTGATTATTTTTTCTAGTATCTTCCCAGATATTGATGTTAGGCTTGTTAGTCTGTAGTTTCCTGGGTCTGTTCTCCCCCCCCCCTTTTGAAGATGGGAACCACATCAGCTCTTTTCCAGTCTTCAGGTAGTTCTCTGGTATCCCAGGATTTTTAAAAATTATGGTACAATGTTTCCGAAATAATATCTGCCAGCTCCTTCAGAACTCTGGGATGTAATCCATTGGTCCTGGTGATCTATATTCATGCCATCCTATCATGCAGGGCATGGTCAAACAGTGAAGTTTAAAAAAACTTAAGACTGTGACTACAACCATACGATTGTGCCTCCCCTTTCACTGGTGATGCAGGTGCCATGCATGTCCAAAGGAGTAGGGCAGCGGTTCTCAACCTATGGGTCGCGACCCCATTTGGGGTCGATCGACCATTTTTCGGGGGTCGCCAAAGAAGGCGATCCGCCATTTTCTCCCCTCAGGGGGTGGCGCTGCGCATGCGCGCGCCGCCGCACATGCGCAGAACGTTTGTGTGACGGGGGTTGCCGTCACACAAACGTTGAGAACCACTGGAGTAGGGCTTTGATCACAGTTGCCCTCTTGATTTTTTTTACCACTCCCCTGCAACCGTCCCATACTTTCTTATAGAGAATATAATCCTCTCTAATATGAGATTAATGATGTTTACAGTATTGTTAATGATATGATCTTCATAGGTCCTGAAATGCACTTCGCAGAGAAGTTTAGATGGTAATTCCTTTGATACACTTTTGATGTCAACACAGACTTAAGGAGAAAAAAAAATCCAGGCCCCTTGACTCTGTGATCTAATTGGATTTATCTCTCATCTCTTTGGTTTTATATAACATTATTAGATTTATTGTTGACTGATTTGTTGCATGCAACAAACCTGTTAATTTGCTTTCAATCTGATTGTATGTTACTCCAAAGAGTAAGGGTGGCATGTAAATTGTCTTGCATAAATTAAGAAAAAAGGCACACTAAAGTTGCATGTGATACAAACATCTTCTCATTCCCACCCACCCCATAAAAATGGTAAAAAATGAAGATTTACCATAATAAATGGCCACACTCAAATACAAAGATATGTAGAGTAGTATCAATATGGTTACACTGAAAGTTCCTTTGCCCTGGGCAAACCTGCACTGCCATTCTCCTCTTTTGTATTAGCTGAACTTGGAGCTACTCAAGATTAAAAGTAATACTAGAGACCAACAAAATCAAAGCAGTTGATATAAATATTTTACACAGAATTAAAAGGTAGAAAAGTCAGATAAGTAAATACCAGATGTCTTGAAGAATTTTGTTTGGTTTGTCACTACAAAAGCAAAAAAAAAAGCCTTCCACTAACCTGACTTGCATATCCCAAACTAATTTACAGATCAGAACATGGTCATCCAATAAACTGTTGGTGAAATATGACTCAGACTTTAGCATCTATAAGCTAAAAACCCTATAAAGGGATGCAAAGTGTACCGTAGATAAAAAGATTGATATGTTGTAATGGGAATTTCAATCCAGACCAAATATTTTATTTAAAAAATTCAGTGTGAGATGATTTACGGCTGATATATTAACCCAGTACTGATTGCTAAAATGGATAATTTATTTTCTAAAAATGGTTGGAAATATAACAAGTTGCGTGGCTCATTTACATACATGTATTTATTTATTTACATGTATAAATGCACATCCACTCCTCTTTTAGCAAGTACTTTGATTAGACATCATACACAAGTGCAACAGTAACAATTGTTCTCTGACCAAATTTTGTGTGCCTGACAACAACGCACATAGGAAGGAGAGTATTCTGTTCGTTGCACAAGAAAGTTAACTCAGTACTTCCAAAGTCAAGGCTGGGTACTATAGTGTACGGGTCCCCACCCCCCAGGCCATGGCCTACTAGTGGGTTGCAGCCCATTTGGAACTGAGCCGCACAAGTGGCGGGCGAGCATGCAGGTGCAGCTTGACTTGTGTGAGTGGTGCGCATGCATGCTCATGCTCAAAGCTCTATTTATGTGCGCAAATGAAGCTATGTATGCTTGCCATCCCCTTTCCTCCTCCGGGCCGTCAAGCTGGAAAGCTTGGGGACCACTTCCATAGGGGAATTCCCAGTGAAGGCACAAAAGGAAAATGGACATAATGCCTACTTATGAGGGAGGAACTCAAGAGTTCAAAAGCAGCCATGGCCTATTTGTCTAGCAGGCAAGATTCCTTGCTTTCAGGTGGGTATGAGCAACTACAATTCTCAATGGAGCTATTAAACATCCTTCAAGAAATTCTCCTATTTGGAGAATAAGCAAAGTAAATGGACGTAAGTAGTGTAAGCCCTTCATTTTAGATCTTCCCTCTCAGCTGACTTCATAAGAGTTTGGTATTTAATTAATATTTGGGTTGTTTGCTTTCCTTCTTTAAAAACATTGAGTTTAGCTGAATTGGTCTGTATATTTGTCTGGTTTTTTTGAGGATGAGAAGTTGGGCTCCAAATACGAGGCTTGGAATAGGATCCTCTTTGAACTGGGAAAATTAATTTAGTTGGGAGAGGCCAAAACATTAGGTTGGTTCACTTATGGCTTGTGGAGGAAAACGATAGTGGTTTTAAAGAGTAAATAAGGGTCTCCTTATTTGTCAGTCAATGACTTTCATCATTTCTGCAAATAAATCAAAGGTTTTGAATATAGGGAGGTTAGAAATTAGTTGACCAAGCAACCTCATAAAGACCAGCCCTGGTTTGAACATGTTTGCCATTAATTTAGCAATTCTCAACCATTCAATCAAGTAATCTCCACTTTACTTAGGTCTGTACCAGTGCTAGAAGCACTGGTTTAATATAATAAGAGAGGATTGCTTAGCAAACAGATACTAGAGGATTTGTCCCCACAAGACCCTTCCCTACATATAAATTATTAGTAGTAATTAATTATGAACATGTTATTTATGAATATGCTCACAGAATTTACTAAGCTTGATTTCATAATAGCCAAAACATGATACATTAGCAATGATTCATTAGACATGATAATGCAACAGATTTTACAGATATTTCAACAATGAAATATTATTATAGTTTAACTTCTCATAATTTGCCATCAGCCTCAGCAGACTGAGATTACCAAATCTCAAGATCCAAAAAAACAAAAATTACTTTGCATATTTTTAGTTATTGGCCCCAACAAACTCAGCATATACTTGGGGAGTTCAAAATCCCAACCAGTCCAGACTTTTTTGATGGCTGGTAGGCTTACATACGATTCAGTCAATACCAGCTAATCTAAAGGCTTCATTCAGTAAAAGCAATTATCAGTCAGGTAAACCATCTGAAGGAGCTGAATTGACAGGCAGGAGATAGCACTAAGCATCTTGCAGGAAACAACATGAGTTTATCACCAAAGACAACTCAGTGAAACTTTGCCAAGCCAGTTAACAGCTGCTACTTTTCACATACACTCTTCAGCTAGCATCATATATATAATGACCCCTAAATTTTACCGTTTCAGC